CCTTACGAATATATATTCCCAATCGCTTAAAAGCAATCCAACAGAACGAAAAATCGCTTTCGATAAGTTCAAACGCTAAGCATACTTCATATCGGAATACGAGCCTACGCAAGAGTCTTTTTATATGTTTCTCGTTAATTAAAAAGGAATAAAACCTTTTACAACTAAAGGAATTGATTCAGAATAGCAGCAATTGCTACTTGAGAATTAATAATTAGCGCTCGAAATACTACTATCTCTCGAGCACTCTAATAACATTTTCCACACCTTATTAAGAAAGATCAATAGAGACGAAGTAGCAATTAAATTAGCTAATATATCAACTTACTACGCCTTTACAAAATCAAATCCTTATAATCCAATCCCATACGTACCCCCTTTAAAATGCTTATTAAACGAGCGATACAACTTAAAGGTTTTTTATAAGATTATACTTAACACAAGCGCGGCCTTTATCTCTTCAGCAAGTATAAAACAAATTGAAGCCTTAAAAAAACTCCTCCTCGACCTTTAAATCACCCCGGCAACCATTACTAAGAGTATTCGATTCGGCAAAGGCGAACTAATAATAATCAAAGCTACGGTCAACGTCGACACCCTTTTAAGCATAATTACTTTTAGTATCGTTCTTGCTAATACGCCGTTCTTACTTTGCTTGCAAGATATAGACCGCTTAAAAGTCATCTTCGATAACGTCTTCAACAAACTACTCCAAGGCAACAAATCGATCCCCGTTATTAAAAAAATAGGCCACGCTTTCTTGCAGATTCAAGCTATTAAGAACGTACTACTCGAGTCTTACTTAAGTGAAAGCGAGCTACGCTAAATTCATCGTCGCTTAAGCCACCCTGCTGCTCGCCGCCTGATCGATATTTTAAAACGTTTAAGCAACGAAGCCGACTTAACTATAATCAAGCGTCTTACCAAATATTACTATTATTGCTAATTGCACGGCAAGTTACCTAATCTATTCAGATTCACAATCAAAGACGACCACAACTTCAATTACGCTATATACGTAGATATGGTCTACCTGAATAGCAAGCTAGTATTACACGTAATTGATAATGCTATAGCATATAATGCTAGCGCGTTCTTAAAGGACATATCGGCGCGTTGCACCTAAGACACGCTGCGTGCTTATTAAATCGATATATACTTAAGACCCCTTGATATTATGATTCACAACCCCGGAACCAACTTCGCTACTTTAAAATTCAAACTACTAGCAAAATCAATAACAGTAAAGGTCAAAGAGGAACCCGTCGAAGCCTATAATAGCGTCGGCAAAGTAAAGCGCTACTATGCTATGCTAAGACGAATCTACGATATCTTTTCCGAAGAGCTAAAAAGTAAGCATATCATAAAGGAACAACTATTGCAAATGGCTTTCAAAGCAATTAACGATACCGCTAGACCCGAAGGCCTCGTACCTACTCTTTTAGTATTTAGCGCCTACCCTCGCTTGATAAACATAAATCCTTTATCCCCTTCGATTTAAAAACGCGAAAAGGCAATCAATAAAGCAATAGCTAAACTTCGGTCGATCCAAGCTATTAAGCAAATCAAGGACGCGCTTGGCACTAAAAACGGTCCTGATACAATAGCAACTTTAAACCTTCTTATTCAGTTAGAAGTTCGCGTATAGCGAGAACACCCTCCCGAAAGAGGCAAACTATACTAGACCGGCCTTTAAAAGCTTATTGCTATAAACCGTCATACTTGCACGGTACAATTGCTTAATAGACCTACTAATTTTCGATCTATAACGGTCAAACCTTACTACCGGGAGCAAGGTCTGCATAAAAAACCAAATCAAGTACGCCTCGAAGTTCCTCCGATTGATCTTCTACTAGCTATCGAAGCTATTCCTTTGATCCCACTTCCGCTAATCCCATCACTTAAAAAAAGTTTTAAGATTCGGCGCCTTCTTTAGCAATTTTTGATAAAAGAAGAAGGGTTTAAAGAAAGATTTAAAGCATTCTAGCACTAAAAAGAAGCTACAAAACAAGAAGCACAAGCAAAGGCTTTCTTAACTAAGAAGGAACTGTCGGACAAGGCAATAGCAATCAAATTACGTTAAGAAAGCAAGATCACTACTCTTAGCGAACCATTCTAGCAATCCTAACGCTTTAAACTAAAGGGTTTAATAGCTAAAGAAGTCTTCCAATTAATGTAATTCGACTTAGTAAAACACGGCAATACAAGGATTTTTAATTCGAGATTCGTCAACGAAGTCAAAAGCATTACTACGCTAATGTGACAGCCTGCCTCGTTACCTGCATC